TTTATTCAATACAGAGTAACACTATACACAGGTAATAAATAAAATAAATAAGACTAAATAATGTAAAGCTAAGTAAAACAGAAAGCCAGAAGATATTTCTGCCCTTGTTTAAAAAAAAAAAAAAAAAAAAAAAAAAAAAAGAGAGAGAGAGAGAAAAAAGAGAGAGAGAGAGAATGGTAAAAGTTTAGTTTTTCAGATCCTATCTGGTTCACAGACTGCAAACAATACATTAATCTCATTGAATCTTAGAGAAGAATGAATCTTGTTGAGTCTTAGATGAGTGAAGATGAATTAGCAGCCTCTGATATTGATTTGAGAAGAAATCCCTCATGACAAAACCTACAAAGGGTATCCACTGATGGCAAATTTCTCAGACATAAGGAGTTAAAAGCCACCCCCTGGAGCATGCTAGAGCCCATCTGCTCCCAGCACCATACCCTTTGTGCCCACTCTGGCTGCCTGACCCCTTCTCCAGCCAGAATAGGGAGTCAGTATGGCACCAGTGCTCCCTGAGCATGCAGGCACATCCCTTGCACAACCACCATGACCTTTTTAGGACTCACATGCCAGTGACTCCGTCTGTGTCGAGATCCTGAGCACCACCAGGATGTGCCAGCTGCTTTGTAGCTGTGTTGAACAGGACCAGGCACTTAACAGAAGATGAAGGGGACCAAACATGGTCCATGTCTTTGTCTGCTCAAACACCACAGACCCAGAACATGGGCATGTCACCCCTCCTCAGGGTGTCTTTTCTCTGTTGTTGCTTTGCCTGCACATCATTACACTGTTGTTACATTAAAATACTGTAATTACAGTCCCCAGGTCAAGCTGTAGTTAAACAAAAACCACCACAGCAATGGCCAGGTTTCCCAGTGGTATTTTCCCTTGTACTGTGAATCTGTGTATCTTGGGGAAACGCAAAAGAAGTTAGTAATTAAGAGCCTAGAGACACAAACTGATATTTTGGTACATTTGTCAGAGTCAGAAAGCTCTATAAATCCACTTTAGCTGAAGATTTGGCCCTGTTTCAGCCAGGAAACAAGACAGAAAAAGGGATATTTAAAATGTGTGTGGAAAGAACAGCACATTGAAATAATGGATGCCCTTTTTCACCTATGCACACAAAGGGACTGTGCCAAATTTGAGACCACATTCCCCTACCTTTTTCTCCTTTCCCTAAAGCTGACACGAGAGTCCTAGGTAGGAATGCAGACCTGGAAAGGAAATGGGAAGCATTCACTGGGCTTGTCCAAATGCAACGCTGGAAGAGATGTCAACATTCTCTGCAATTCCCAGACCTCATACACTCACAGGGGCACACACACAGTTGTAGGTAGGAAGATAGCTTTTGGCACGCTGAAAGCTTCAGATGTCTCTCTGAGCTTCCTAAGTCTACCAAAAACTCTGCTGTTTTAATGTCAGCTTCTTCCATTTTGCTGCTCCCTTCCCTTGATTTTTTCCTCCCCTTGTTCATGCAAACACGATACCTAGGGAGGAGGAAAAGGCTTGCACAAGATGGTAACTGCAGCTCAATCCTCTGTGGACTGAGGATTTCCTTTTGTCATTCTCCTCCACCAGCCCCGTGTTTCTGTGATGGTTTGCATACCCAGGGGTGTGCCCAAGCTAAGCAGGATAGAAGCAAGCCAACAGAGAAATGTCCTAATCAAGCTGATTGGAAAGGGAACTCAAAGCCGACGATGATGCACATATAATTTGTGGAACTGAACAAAAAATGAAGAACGGGTTTTGGATGTCATTATCCACAGCTAAAATGTCAAGATAATATGAAATTAAGCAACAACTGTGAAAATGAGAGGAAGCATTGTCCTTTCATCCTGACAGACTCAGTTTTGGACTCTTCAGTGTCAGTCAATTAATTTTTTTTTTGAACATCAGAAACTTTATGAACACACAGAGACATGTATTCTGCTGAATCTTAAAGCTTAGTTTTAAAGTCACAAAGTCAAGGGCGACAGGCAACTGTAAAAATACAGATATTTAGATATTTTAAAACTTGCCTAAATTCTATTACTATCCCCATCTTGATTACACAGGGTGGAGCAGAAAAGCAGGCATTTATCATTGCAGATCCATGCTGGTAATATCATCTTGCCAGAGGGATCTTCTGGGGAGTACTATGGATTCACACAAGACAGGTGAGACACAGTTGTTCTGTTGGGTTTTGGACGGACAGCCGGCCACCTCCTCCCTTTATGAAGGGCCAAACATTCTTTTTTTTTTTTTTTTAATGAACTATAGTCAAAGCTTAAACAAGTTCACCAAGAGCTGACTCTACTCCCTTAGGTTTTCTTGGGAGGGTGAGCTCCAGATGGGCTGGTGGCTTCCCCTGTGCTCCTTTTCCTCTGCTTTTCTTTGGCTCAGGCATCCTACAAGCTCTTGGAGTTTGCCTCCCTCTCTGCATTCATCTCGTGGCTCACTGAGTGGGCATAAGGTCTAACGTCTGTTCTCCTTTGTTTCTTTGTTTGCTCTGCTGATCTGTACATGACTTTCCCTTTCTTTCTGAGGCGTTTTCCTGCTGCCCCCTCAAAGCCTGCCCACTGAGATGATTGAGCTTTTCCTCCAACACCCCTGGAGCTCAGCCACCTCACTCTGCCATTCCCCCATGGAGCAGGAAGTGGCACGTCTGGTGCTGGGAGAGCACACCTTCCCAGGACTGAGGTGTGCTGCCTGGACTGTGCCTGAAGCCACAGATGGCATTGCCTGGCATGCAGGTCTTGGCACAGCTCTACATGCCTCAGACTTGCACAACCTTCCCCTGAGTGCCATGGAGGGAGCACTGTACCCATGCTGAGCAAGGGAAAAAGCCTGAATGGCTCAGGAAAGCACTTCTCCAGAGAGCTATCTTTATCATAAATACTGCATGGAGAAGGCAATGCAGCCTATAGTTATGCTGCAGAACCACCCAAAGACCTCACTCAAGTTCAGACTGATCCTCGCCATGGCTCACTAGCATTCTGAGGGCAGCAGTGAACAGCCCTGCTGTCAAACACACCTTCCACAGGCCCACCTTTGTTTGCTGTTTTGTTTGGTAATCTGACATCCCTTCCTGGCTTCACTTAGACACGTTTGTAAAGGTTGATCACTTTTAGATCCTGTGTTCCACTCTTGATGTGGAGCAACATTGCCTGTTAACCTCAGAGAGAAACTTGGGGAGGATCTTTTGTGCAGAGACCTCTGTGAAAAAAAGAGGCAGAGATCAGATCCTCTGTGGGGAAACAGTGGTGCCTTTTATCATATTTTTCCACCTCTGAAATAAATTATTTTATGACCACGATTGACACAAACCCAGGAATTTACAAGAATGACTAGAACTAAAAGAACCATGTTGTTTCTCAATACCCCAAAATAAATACTTTGTCATTCACCAATAGCCAGCTTCAAGGTGTTCACCAATCTGCTGGTCAGCACAGGAAGGCACACTGCTGTGGGCAAAGGGGAGCAGCTCCAGGAGCTTCCCTTCCTCTGGGACAGGTGGGACTTTGCAGTCAAGCTGTACAGTTGACTTTTCTGGGGCTGAAGTTCCACTCCAGAGCCCACCACAGAGGATTTTCAGAGGGATGCACAGCTTCCTCCAGTTGCCATTACTGCAGGGGGTTTGCACAGAAGTCAGCTTTTGCTTCAGCAAGCAAAGGAAGGGAAAACAACAGTCAAAATAGAAATATAGCGGAAGTAAATGTAAGTAATTTCCAGTTTGGGCAGCACTTTGTTTACCTATTTTTCATATATGTGAAAGAGGTAAGTATATTGCCTTCTTTATCATCTAAAAGGACTGTTAAAAAAATTGTTTTGAAAGTCCTAAGTCTCATAAAAATATTTGGTCCATGCCTATTTTTTGGCCTTTCTTATTACCAGTTTTCTGCAGAGATATTTTACTGCTGTCATCCATCAAACATCCCATTGTCTATTCCCTATATAAAATCCCACATATAAAAGCACCTTACTAGGAGCTGGAGTGTTGTATATGTTTTTTTACTAGAAAGTAAATATTTGAAAAATGTAGTCATGACTTCCATCTACTGCAAGAGGTGTCTCAAGCTCTGCCAGTTTGTAAGTCTGTCTGTTCAGCTCATGAAGCTGAGGGTGCGTCAGAAACCATCAGTCCTGTTCGATAAACTGTGCTGATCTTTTCGTCTTGACTTCCTGAGTCATCCTAGCTCTGGACCTCAGCTGCCAGATGGAATCCCACTTTGTGATACAATCTGATACACTTTCAGCTCATAAATGTGTTTGTGTTTAGAACTACAAAGGACACTTCCTGGCTGTTTAGTAGGGTCTCTCTCTCTCCCTCTGTCTCTCTCTCAACATCAAGCCACTTGGCCTGATAATGTGTTCATACCAGCTCATGTGATAATGTGTGAATACCAGTGCTCCTTTAAATAGAACATGGATCCTGATCCTCAGTTATCAATTGCTTTTAATCTCTTATTTTGTAAATATTGTTTTGCTTAATGTATTTTCATGTTGCTTTTAAGGGAAATTTTTAAAATGTCAAAATGTATGGCTACTGCATCACACAGTGAGTTAAAAAAAGAAATAACTGGCAAGTAATTTCCATTCGCATTATCAACAAATGTATAAGGGTTTTTTCTTTTTTTTTTTTCTTAGATTACACTTTTTTTTTGCATCTCCCAGCAAGTAACATTGGCCTTCTGTTTTTTATTAACTACAGCTGTTTGCATATTGCTGCTGTCAGAGCTGGATGGGAGACCACATCTGCGGTGCTTGCATGTCTCAGTGACTTTGTAACTTGGACTTTGGTGAATAATTTGAAAATTGCACACACATAAGGCTGGTTTACATTGTCCCTTCTTTAAAACACATTTCAGAATATTCAGCTCTGAAAAGCTCAATTTATTTTTTCTAGTCTCTTGTAAACATGACAGGTCATGAAAAAAGAGAGAGGAGGATAAAGGAAAACTTTATGCAGACTTACCTAGATCATACTCTACATATGACAAAGCAAGCTTTTAAAATCTCACCTTATAATAGAGCAGAGAGGTCAAGGGGGGATGTTTCTGCAGCCTCACAGTCCCGTTCTGCTTGCTGGGGTTGAGGCAATACTACAGCACAACACAGGACTGGATGCTGATACCACCTGGTCAAGTGTATCCAGCTAGTCTTGGAATGTGTCCCTATGGTGGCAGGGCCATCTCTCATCATTCTTGTCGACTATAAAAATGGACACAGAACAGAAAACAACTACTCTGTGGTTAGGCTGCAAAGTGTGTTGCAGGACTTGTAAGCTACACAGAGAAACCCCTGAGCACCAGAAATGTTGGTTCATTCCAACCTCTCTGTCCTTGGCCAGGGACAGTACTGGGCTGGAGCCAAAGAGACAGAGATGTGTTCAGCAGCAATTTCCCCAGCTTTTGAGAAGCACCCATTTCTTTCCCAGGCACCTGCATGAAGTAGTACAGAAATGTGCTTTTCCTCCTCTGGGATAATGCCAATAATACCTTGTTTTTTTCTGTCACTTCTAAGGGACAGGCTGGGTTGCTGTGGAAAGCAAACAGGGTTCCTGTTGATGTCTGTTGGTCTGGAGGATTTCCAGAAAAATTGGAGGGGTTGTATTGTGGACAGTAGGGACCCCAAGTGTGCAAGGACCCTGGGTGTCCCATTACCAGGGACTAGAAGCAGGCACTTGGGCAGGAGTGGAACATGCATTGCCCTGGAGGGTTTCTGCTGATCCCATCCTGCCCTGGTGCCTGCAGCTCTCCACAGCTGTGGGTGCCACAACACATCACGGAGGTGCTGGGCTTCTGCAGCACAGATGTGGTGCTGCTATGCCTTGGACCCACAAAGCATGGAAGGACATCAAAAGAGCATATGCCTCAGCAATGGCCCTCTCCAGCAGCCAGCTGTCCCGCTGCTCAGAACCATATGTGCACCCAGCCCTCAGGTCCTTCTGGAAAAGAGCTTTATTTGGAGTGGGGCAGGCTGGGCACAAAGGTGCAGCCTGCTCTCCAGGCACGCCATCAGCTCAGCCTCACTGCCCGTGGGCCTGCACCCAGCTGGAGTCAGCACAGAGGGAGGGAGCTGAGGTGAGGAGAGGTGACCAGTGACGTGCACATGAAAAGGGCTTATATTAAGGGATTTCCACCCTGGAAAAAAGCCAGCACATAGATGGTGTAACAGAGGGCTCTGAAATATCAGAGAAGAATAGGGATCTCTTAATTCATCGTGGGTCATAGCACGAATGCTGAGAGGCACAAAAGAAGAACAAAAACCCCAGAGCAAATCCCCTTACAGCCAGCTCAAAGTCAAACCCTGAATTGCATTGTCAGAGGATAATCTGTCAAAAAGCATAAAGAGAGTGATTAGGCAAAGGAAGCATCAACCAAACCTCATGCAAGCTTTATCTCAGGAGGTCTGGGTTACTAGGAACAAGCACTCCACACTTCATACTTTTATAAGCATTCAGTGGTATTAGAAACAAATCAGGGGACTAAGCAGAAATGTGGACTGATTTAAACACCTCTTTTGCTGGCATGTTCACAGAGTAGTTGTGACATTATTCAAGGTTTGTTATGAAATTATTTTAAATTTCCAAATAGATTTTCTTTTCTATTTTTCTTTTCTTTGCAAAAGTATATGACAGAACCAATTTTTTATTTAGTACCATGAACAAAAAAAGCCCCAATCATATGTTTGAAAGCCTTGTGAATCTAATGAGGAAGAAGTCTATTCTGCATTTTAAGTGTATCACAATGAGGAGACTAGAAAACAAACAAAAATGCAGAAGGGTCTAATTACAAAAAGGCAACAAATCACGGCAATTTTTTTGTTCCTGATGAACAAGTTGTACTGCTTAAATGTAGTTAGGATAGCAAACCACAAACTGTCATGGAATAGCAAATAATAATTTGTAATCATTTTTTTCTGAACTTTGGCTTTGAAACTCCAAAACCTGGGAAAAAAAGAAGCAGATACAAGGGTGTGCTGGTCAGTTGGCCACAAGTGATGCATTTTCCAAGAGTCTGTCAATCTGAAAGAATGGAAAGCATCCTGGAGATGTTTGAGAGACATGGGGCTTTGAACAGAGGTAAAAGATCTGTAATTGTGTTAAACTGAGTGGTGAAAGCTCTGCACACTAAGTCATAGCAGTTTTAAGCAATTCTTGTGAGCTGAAACTTAAACAGTTTCAGGTGCTTAGTTTATATATAGTATTTTTATGCTCAATATTTGCTTCCATCAATTTTATTATTTTGTGCTTTTTAATAAATTGATGCAAAGGAATTTGAAGTCACACAGCAGGTCCATGACCTCTGCATTTCTTTTCTGTGCTCCTGGACATAGCATCTCCACTGGCTGTGCTGATCACTGAAGGACAAGACAGCATCTTGAATTCAGCTATGGCTGAGTCCCCTTTGACCAAAATTTGCAAGCTGAACGCCAGCTACCATTTTTGTTCTGTGTCCTCTAGGCAATGCCAAGGCAGCTGTTGAGGTAACTACCCAATATGGATTACTTCCAACTCCCTGCTCCTCAAAGGACTACCTAAAACTTAACCATATAACCCAAAGTGTCATACAAATGAGCTCTGACAGGCATGGAGCTGTGACACTCCCTGGGGACCCTGTTTCAGTGAAGAACCTTTCCATAATGGCCAGTGTGATCTTCTGATGCAGTTTCATTCCATCTGCTCATGCCCTACCAGCAGGCACAGAGAGAGGGGATCAGCACCAGCCCCTCTGCTTTCTCCCTTGAGGAAGCTGTAGGCTGTCCTGAGGTCACCCCTCACCCTTCTCCAAGCTGAGCAAAACAAGTGACCTCAGCCACTCATCCCAAGTCTTGTCCTTGAGACCTGACGGCAGACAGCCTCCCCCAAACACAGTCTAACAGTTTGACGTCCTTCTGATAGGGAGGCACACAAATCTGCACGCAGGACCTGAGGCAAGGCTGCACCAGTGGGACAATCCTCTCCCACAGCAATGCTGTGCCTGATGCTCGCCAGCACACAGCTAGCCTTCTTTGCTGCCACAGCACACTGCTGACCCATGTTCAACTTGCCGTCAACTCAAACCACCAGATCTCTTTCTGCAGGGCCTGCTCTCCTCCCTCCAGTTTTATGAATAATCAGGTACCCCACCCAAGGTGGAGAACTCAGTACTGCCTTAGTTAAATTTCATATGGTTGGTGCTCACCCTGCCAGCTCCTCCACAAAGTTCCTTTTCTCATTTTGGGAAAGGCATACCCTGTGTGTTGCCAGCAGGCTTGGTGTCATGTAGACTAACTCATGATAAAAAAGAACAACTTCTGCCAGTGACATCAGCCTTGGAGTTCAGTATTAATTCTGCTGGGTCTTCATGTTTCTTCTTCCATCTTTCCCTGCAAGTGGAAGGAAAGAAAAGAACATTTCTTGTGTTCATGATTCCATAATAAAACCTTCTAAGGCCCTAAAGTCTCTCTCAATTGCTCTTGGCTACTTATTGCAACTTCATCATTGCCTAAATGAAAAAAATCAATAATGGATAATAATCCAAAGTCCATAACAGGGTAGGAAGCTTTCTCTTCGCATCTTTAACTCAAGTGTAGGGAAGCAACAGATTTGCCTGGGAAGTGAGTCTTGTCCAGCTCCCTTCTCTGCAAATACAAGATTAATTCATTTAAAATAAGCTAGTGAATAGAAAGAAAATTATGAACTTCACAAGACACTGTCACAGACACATAGACTTTTCAAAGGGGTTTCAATGAAATAGATAATGGTTTGTTTAGACTCTCCTCCAGAGGGCTGGGTTTTGTCCACTGTTACGGTGAGCATTGCTTGCTACACAGAAATACAAGTCAATCCAGAGACATAAAACATTGCCTCCTAAGCTCCCAGCAAAGTACTAGAGGGGAAGGAAACAGCAGCAAATGCAACTGGATAAACTGATTCAGATTGGCAAAGCACTGCTGTGGGTACACCTGAGCATGCCTCTCCATGGAGATGTGGATTCATGACCAGATGCTCTAGATCAACACCAACAAACTCATTAGTTATTTTCTTGGGTTTCTTTCACTTTTCCTCAGAAATCTATGCCTCTTATACCATGATAACAATTGGAACCCACCAATAAGGCAACTTTTCACTTGCTTTTCTGTACTTATTATTCATCTGGGGTTTACATAAGCATTGTTGCCATGGAAGAAAAGTGAGATATTTCCACTTTTGAAATGTATTCAATATTCTTTTTCTGTGCACTTTTTCTCCTCCACCAATGCTGATTCTTTAGATGTCCCATCTCTCCCACTGCTTCTTTATTTGAGATTGCCTTGCCCTGATGGGGTATTTTCCCACAGCTCCCTGCACTGATAATGTCCATTCTTACATTAATGTGGCAAAAGTAAGCAACAATGGCTATGTTGTTATTTCTGGAGAAAAATGCAGATGCAGGAACTTGTCACAAGCTCTGTGTTCTTTGTATAAACATAGGAGTCTTGTTCTTCTTAGCCACTGCTGACTTCAAGTCACTGGTTATTTGGAGGGGTCAGTAAAGAAATAGATTTTTTTTTACTCTTTCTCCAAAATGTTTGAGAATTCTTGGCAAGTACCAGAACATCTACAGAGAACCACCTTAGCCAAAACAAGATAGCTGAATAGCAGCACTGCTGCAGCTGAGATCAGCTGAAGGCCTTGGGCTGAGTGAGATGGGTTTTAAGGTCTTTTATCTATTGTTATGGTTAAGTTTTATGTAGCCTAGCTCAAAAACAGGAAAAAATTATAAATAGTCTAAATAGTCAGAACTTCAGACCACTGAAATGACTAAAGTCTCAAGGACACCAGAAAAACAGGGACAGAGGTTGGTGGGGAAAGAGTGGAGAGGGAAGATGACTTAAGTGCTGAGACTATTTTTTTTCCTGGTGTCTGAACAGCTCTACATCTCTGCTACATTTTAGCTGTTTTGTGGATATTGGTGTCAGCATTTTATTTTTTCTTAAACTTAGAAGAAATCAAGTTTTTTGCTTTCTATTCCTTCATAAAAGCTAAACTACTTTTCTGTTGTTACCCTCCCTTCAAATGGAAAGATTCAAGTACATTGATCTCGGAGCCAGTTTCCCAGTAAGGCACTGAA